CTCGGGAGGGGAGGAGGAGGGTTTGTCCCGTGTCATTAGAAAACTTACCCGGCCAGTCCCGGCTTGTGAGCGTTGGAACAAAACATTCGTCTTTTTTAAAGTCTGTTGGTAAAATCTTGGCCCCGTGATGAGCCGTGGAAATCCGTGACCGAGGACCCTGCCCCTCGGTGGAGCTGGACAAAGAGAACAGACCGGCCAGTTAGTTCTGGGGCTGTCAGACTGTGCTGTGCTGGCTTGAGCTGGTGTCGATTTCATAGTACCTATAAACCCAGATAAATAAAGTTACCTTTAGGAAATGTTTTCTCTATTACTAGGTATTGTAAAACCTTCTCTTTTTTTTTTTCTTTTTCTGACTAAATTCTGTAGTTTCCATGCTAGCAGGTGTATTTGTTGTGACCAATTCTACTGAAATCTCTGCCTCAAAAATAAATTTGCAGGAGATTTTAGAGTCTCCTTTTTTTGTAGAAGATTTTAGAGACAGAAATTATAAAATTTATGTTACATACTCTTTGTACAGTCATACTTTTCCTAATCTTACATCTTATTCCTTTCTGCAGTAATTATGCCACCATCAGCTTTGGATCAACTCAGTAAGTGAATATCTTATTCTGGAATAACAGCATTAGAAATACCAGCGAACGTGTAAACAAATACCATGGTATTTTAGTTATCTGTTAAAATGTGACTTACTTAAATAGAGAATATAAGATTAATTAGTTGAAACAATGTGTTTTGGAAGTATTTTGTCTGCCATAATTAATGGGGCTTGTCTGTCCCCAAGTACAAACATCTGAAGTGTTGGGCTACCTGAGGCATGAATCAATATTTATTAACTATTAATGCCACGCTCAGTATAATGGCTACAGTTCATCTAGTAAATTCTTTATCTCAACCTGCTTGTTCTGGACGCTGTTGTCTAGAGCAAAATTCATTTTTAAGAAAAAATAAGTGATAGTTAACTTTGAAATGGTGAAAAGAGTAAGTGAATCAGTTGTATAGAAGGCCTTTATTGGCCTTTTTAAGTAAGGGTTTCTTTTCTTCCCCTCTGAGTTTTAGCCTTAATAGATTTTTTTTTTTGAGAAATTAGTTTAGTCAGGATGTAATTTTTAATAAGGCAGGGCCAGTTAAAATTCACTGGGTGGGAGCTAACTGTTAAGGACGTAGCAGTAATAGATTCCTCTGCTAATACCTGCTGCCTGCTTGTCTCTGAGCTCGGGGGACTTAAAGCTGGCAGCACGATGGCAGTGTGGTGTTTGTGTGTCTGTGCTCTCTCCTGGAGTTATAGTTTTGAGTGATTGGAGTGATGGTGTGAGGGGAATCCTCTCCGATAGTCCAGACTATTCTCTTGCTAGTGTTCAGTCTCTGAAAGCTTCAGAAATGTCTTAGTGGCTTTTAACAAATAAGATTTTTCTCTCCTCTCTCACCAGGCCGACTTAATATTACTTACCCGATGCTGTTCAAGCTGACCAATAAGAACTCGGACCGCATGACGCACTGTGGGGTGCTGGAGTTCGTGGCTGACGAGGGCATTTGTTACCTGCCTCACTGGGTGAGCTGCCTCAGCTGAACTGTCCAAACCTGAAGAGTAGGATGAGTGAGTTGCCAGGTTAATATTAAAGAGGCGGAGTGTTTCCTGAACGTGTGTGTCTTTGCTAGTCATGTTCCTGCGACAGCTTTCAGTCACAGCTCAGGCTGTCCTCTGTGAGAGTTTAACTGAGCAAGCAAAGCAGAACACTTTTTAAGGTGCTCCTGACCCTCCTCCTGACATCAAACCATGGTGAACTGCTGCGTTTTGAGGAAGATGGTGGCCCCTGTGAAAATAGGTATATGCAAGGAAAAGGAACTTAAAACATCAGTCACGTTGATGGTTTGTATCTTTGTTTTCATTCTTCCAGATGATGCAGAACCTGCTGCTGGAAGAGGGAGGCCTGGTGCAAGTGGAAAGTGTGAATCTTCAGGTTGCTACTTACTCAAAATTCCAGCCACAGAGTCCAGATTTTCTTGACATCACCAATCCCAAAGCCGTGTATCCTTCGTGTTCAGTTATGGGGCAGGGGACAAAAGTATTCTCCCAAAAGGGAATGTTGAGGCAGAGGTGGCTCCTGCTCCTTCTGAAAGCAGGAAGGCCGAGAGCTTTTGCAGTGCCAGCTGCTGGCACAAAGCGCAGCCGGGAGCGCAGGAGTGTGAGCCTTGGCTTAAAGTCAGTGAGTTTGAGTGTCCCTCAGCAGAACTCATACTCCCTAGTGTTTGCTAAGAGGCTGCCTACGCTACTGGGGGCTTTTAAACCTGGTTTGAGAGACCAAGGATCAGAGTTTTATAATGTCGTAGCTTTAAAGCTTCGATGCTGCATTGAAAGCAAATGTTTCATCTTAACATACTCCAAAGATTAGAAAACGCACTGAGAAACTTCGCTTGTCTGACTACAGGGGACGTTATTGCCATCAACTACAATGAAAAGGTACAGTGTGCAACACCGGTCCGTGCAAGTTTTGGTGGGATACCATCAATTTGAGGAAATAAATTCTGCCCCATTTTAAAAAAAAGTGTGCTGTATTTCGGTAGATTGTGACCGCACAGGTACTTGGACTCCACCTTGTGACTGGGTGTTATAGATGAGGCTGCAGTCCTGAGTGATGTGCTCTAGGCAGTCCTGCTTTGGCAGGGGAGTTGGGCTGGATGATCTCTAGAAGGTCCCTTCCAGCTCCCAACAATTCTGTGATTCTGTGATTTCTGGCAGCACGTGTGTGTGGTTTTGGTCCCTCGGGGTTGTGGGCTCAGCTCAGGTGTGGGATGCTGGCGGTGACACTGTCACCATGGAGCTGTGCACTGGTGTTGACAGCCAGCCCAGTGCAGCTGTGGCACCTCTTTTCTGTGGGAGGAAAAAGGGGTCAGTTAAATCTTTTCCTGAGTTGTGGTTTAGACTCTTTCTTGACTCACAGGAAAACAATTTTTTGTGCTGTTGATGTTTTTACAAGTCTATGAACAGAATGTATCCTAAATTAAGAATTTGTGTTAAAAAAATGGAAACTAAGGTACAGCAAGAGTGCAGCAGGGTACAGTAAAGGGACTGTTCTTTAGCTCCAGTACATGGCAATCTTCTCAGTTACAAATCTCTGCTCTCAAGTTCTGTAGAGACCCTGAATTACCCAGTCCTCAACCTAAAGAGCACTTATTTCAATTTTCTGGGGGCTACCTGAAGGGAAAGGTTTAGAAATGCTTTTCTTATATAAAAGTTGAGCTCTTTCATTGGTTGCTGTTATAATATTGGTTCCTGTTTCAGATCTATGAGCTTCGGGTGATGGAGACCAAACCGGATAAGGCCGTGTCCATCATCGAGTGCGATATGAACGTAAGTTGAAGTAGGTGGGGGACACCTGCTGTCACTGTGCCCTCCCAGGGGGACAGGGCCCCTCAGGGTGGCAGCACCAGGCAGCTCTGACGCTGTGGGATGGGGAAAGTCTGATGGGACACGTGAGGTGGCTCTTTCGAGGGTAACCCATGGACCTGTGTAACCACAGCCAGGGGCTCGAGGTACCACCAGGTGACTGCAGCCACTAGAATTTAATGTTTAGTTTCATCGTGTTTTATACTCTGAGTTTTATTTAACAGCCTTCTCTTGATTCAAACTCCAGTGATACCGTGGGGTGCTGTTATACTGCTCTGTTTCAATTTCATGCTAAGGCTCGTTCCTGGGAGGCTTAGTCTTTCTAGTTGTGGGTTGAAATTAAGGAGCAAACCTCAGCTCTTTCTATATGGAGATGGAGTGCTACTTTGGGGAGTTTTCAGGAATAGTGGTATAAAGCTTATGATTAAAAGAATTGTGTCAATCATGCTTATTTTCATGCTTCTTGTGTAAATAGGTGGATTTTGACGCTCCTTTGGGGTACAAAGAGCCAGAAAGAAGTGCACAGCACGAGGAGACCACAGTAGGTTACACTTCTGTTCTTCACACACCTATTCCCTAGAAACCAGCCGTGCTTGGGATGGGGCAGTGAGCGCCAGCAGACATTTGTTTCCTGAAACAGTTTCCTGGGACTAAACTTCACTTACCAGACACTTTGGTGTGTGTTACTTATGAGATGGTTTTTACCAACTGTTGATTTGGAAAGGGATTGTTCTGAAGTTTTGCTTGGTCAGAAACAGGTAGAACTGTTTCCATGTGTTGTGTGTATCACGAGGTGAGCACGAGGCACTAAGTTGTTTTCTCCCTGGCAGGACGTTGAAGCAGACCATAGCGGGTACGTCAGCGACATCGGATTTCGTGTAAGTTCCCGTTTCTGCTGGTGTCTGAATGCTGTGCAAGGGTGAGGGAAAGTTGTTCCAAACAACTGCAAAATACTAGTACCTGTTCTTAGGGGTGCTGGTGGATTAACTGGGGTGTGGGGTCCCAGCCCGTCCCAGTCTGACTTGCTGTCCTGACACGGGCAGTCTGAACGGGAGACTGAAACACACTCCTGGGGTTTATTGGCTTATACGTACCAAACCTCACACTGAATCAAATACCTAAATAAAAATGACAGTAAGATTTTACAGAATACAGTGCCCGTGTGCTGTGTGCTTCCCAACACAAGCTATGGTTACATTAACACTCCTTGTGTGCACATCCACAGGCGTTCTCTGGTTCTGGGAACAGGCTGGATGGCAAGAAGAAAGGGGTTGAGCCCAGCCCATCGCCCATTAAACCCGGAGACATTCGAAGGTAGGGCTGTTCCCTTCAGCTGTCGGTGTGTGAAAGATTGGTGTTTGTTCAGAGTTTAATTTAACTTCTTTTTTCCTGCTCCTGCAACATAAACAAGTGAACTGTGCTCTGAGCTTGCGTTCAGAAAATTAATAGTCTGGTCTTTTGGGCTGATTGTGATGTCCCCGACTGCGTCAGCCGCGGGTCCCTGGGGGACGTTGCGTTGTTGGCCCAGGACGGGCAGACATGGGGCAGGTCTCTGGGTGCCCAGTGGGTATAAAAGGTTTCTCATCATATTGTTGTGCCTCTTTTCCAGGGGAATTCCCAACTATGACTTCAAGATTGGTAGAATCACATTCATTAGAAACTCGCGTCCACTCGTTAAGAAAGTTGAAGAGGTAAATAAAGCTGGATCCTTCCCAGTTTGGGGCAGAGTCAGGACATGAGAACTCCGGTCCGAGGTTGTGGTTCCTCTCTCCACACTTACACTGAGAAGACCTCTCAGTGTAATTCTGTTACAAGGGGTTTGAGCTGGGTGAAGGCCCCCGCTGCCCGTCCTTGGTGATGTAAAACCATTGGGCAGATATGGATGAAATAAGGCAGCTCCTGCGTGTTGCAGCTGGGCGGAAGGTCTCGGAAACACTGGGAATTATTTTCAGGCAGTGGTTATTGTGTAGACGAAGGATGTGAGATGCTGCAGCTGGGTCCTGCCCTGCTGGAACGTCCCAACCATCAGTTTCATCGCACACAAGCACTGAGTGAAGAGGTAACGACCTGTTTCCCCTCTTTTTCCTGTTTCCAGGATGACTCCGGGAGCCGGTTCATCGCCTTTTCGGGAGAAGGCCAGTCCCTGCGCAAGAAGGGAAGGAAACCCTGAGTCCAGGAGCCTGGAGTCGGTCGGGAGGAAAATAAAAGATCCCTTGCAGCGTGTTGGGCCGGAGTGATTGCGGCGGGGCTGGGGTCTGCAGCACAGGGAGCTGTCGCTGGGGGGTCTCACCTTTAAAAGCAGAGCTGCTCAAATTCCAACTGGACTGTCAGAATTTTCGGTTGGGAGTTCTGGGAATTCCAGAGGGGTGTTTTGTGTGAGTTGTAAAGAGGGAAAGTGTGCCTGGGATAAACCAGAGGAGTAACCCAGTGCGATCCTGTACCAAAAGACCCCAATTTCTCCGGCTGTGTCCTCCCCTCCTGCTATTTTCCTCCTTCTGTATATTTTTGCCCCAATTCCAGGTGAGCTTTTTTTTTGGGCTTGTGACACAAAGGCACAGGCTCACGGTGTGGCCTTTGGGGCTGTTGTGCGGGGGAGTCTCTGATCTGGGATCCGGGTGTTGGTTATAAATCCGTGTGAGGGTCCCCTGTAGCCGCTTCTTGTATTTACAATTAAAATTATGCCTTTTAATTAATAAATAGGGTGATAGAGCACTCGCATGGAGGTGGAGGCGGGACGCGGCTTCCCCCCTCCCCGGGGGCCGAGCTACGCTCTCGTGTGTTAATTTCGAGGCGGAGGGGGGAAAAAACCCGCGGCGGCGGCGGGAGGTTTGGGGTTAAAACGGGCGGGTTTGGTTGTCCGCTTGGGAGTCGGGCGGGACGGGGGCGGCCATTGTGGTGGGGGGGGCGGGGGGGGAGGCTGAGGAGAAGACACAACGAGGGGTTAGATCCCCGTCGGACCGGGGGATCGGGCCCCCTCGACGGCCCCAGCCCCGCTCACCCGCCAGCTCTCGCCGCCCGCCATGCTGCCGTACGGCAGCATGGCGGGCGGCGAGAGCTGGCGGGTGAGCGGGGCTGGGGCCGTCGAGGGGGCCCGATCCCCCGGTCCGACGGGGATCTAACCCCTCGTTGTGTCTTCTCCTCAGCCTCCCCGGCCTTGCGAGGACTACTGGTGGGAGTGGAAGCACTGCCGAGGCCTGCGGCACGCCTTCCACCATTACTACGCCCACGGGGAGCTGCCGGCCTGCGGGCGGTGGAAGGAGGACTACGAGGCTTGTCGTTCCTGGGAACGGGACCGAGACACCGCAGCGCAGGTACCGGGAGATGAGGGGGGGTGGGTGAGCTTGGAAGGCCCGGAGGGAGAGGGCTTGAGCGTTTTGGTGTGAAAACTCTGGGTTTTGGGGTTCTGCGCCGGTGCAGCAATCACAGGATCTCATGGGGTTGGGAAGGAAGCTGTGGAGATCCATCTCCTCCAACCCCTTGACAAAGCAGGTCCTGCAGGAACTTGTCTGCTTATCCAGGTGGGGTTTGGAATGTCTCCTGAGATGGGAGACTCCACCACCGTGGGTTCAAGCTGGTGCCCCTGTCACTGGGCCCCACTGAAAAGAAGACTGGCCCCATCCTCTTGACACCCACCCGTGAAGTGTTTCACAGAATCATCTCCATGGGTGGAAGGGACCTTTGAGGTCATCGAGTCCAACCACACACAAAAAAAAAAAACAAACAAAAAACCCAAAAAAACCCAAACCCAAACAAAAAAACCCAACCCCACAAACAGACACACAAACCAAAAAAACCCCCCACAAACAGACACACTCCCACAAACCTGGGCACTAGAGCGTGCCCTGAAGTGCCACGTTTCTTAAATCCCTCCAGGGATGGTGACTCCACCACCTCCCTGGGCAGGCTGTTCCAGGGCCTGACCACCCTCTCAGGAAAGTCATTCTTCCCAATATCTCATCTAAACCTCCCCTGCCCCAACTTCAGACCATTTCCTCTGCTCCTGTCATTATTCCCTTGGGAGAAGAGGCCAACCCCCACCTCTCTGCACCCTCCTTTCAGGGAGCTGTAGAGGGCAATGAGGTCTCCCCTCAGCCTCCTCTTCTCCAAACTCAGCATGCCCAGAGGTGTTTGAAGGGCCGCCTGGCAGCGTGTGTCCGGGAAGGACCCCCCAGCAGTGTTGGTTTCAGAGGCAAACTATAATAACCCTGAGAGTTCAAGGCGTGTGTCCTGCTCACCAACACCCTTTAGCACTTCTACTGAAGCACCATAAACTTCTCTTGCTCCCTTGATCCCAAATCCTCCGCAGGAACCCTGTGGGGCAAACCCAGTGCTGCCGCAGTGGTGATTTCCCCCCCTGTGTGTTGCAGGAAGCTCTGTGCCAGCGTGAAAGAGCTCGAGTTATGGAAAGGCAGAAACACGCCCCGGTGTGGAGGCTGAGGAAGAGCCCCCCCCCCGACTGGTACCTGCCCCTCGACCAGGACAAACCCAACTAGCCCCAGGACAAACTCAACTAGCCCCGGCGTTGCCGTGGGGGGTCAGTCCCCCCTGCGCTGGGCTGTGCCCGCTCTCCTCTGGCAATCACGGGGCTGTAGCTCTGCCCACAAAACTTCCAGAAACACCGAGAGTTTATTTCAACCCCCAGTATTTTTTTTAATGGAGGTGCTTAATTTGATTCTCGCCTCTTGCTACTGTATGAGTTTGAGGTTTCACCTCAGCAGCAGCTCCTCTCCCCGGATGAGGATTCGCCTCTGGGACAGGGCACCCGCCCCTGGGAAGAAAGGATCCCACTGGGGCTGCTCCTGCCCGCTCAGGACAATCACCACCACCCCGTGCAAGAGGCGTTTCCCAGGGACCCGCCTGCGGTGGGTGCGGAGCTGCTCGGCTGGGGGGGGTGATGCTGCAGCCCCTCAAACCACCCCCTGCCCGGCCCCGCTGTCGGCCGTCGTGTGTGTCCACAGCAGTGTTCAAAACCACGACAAAAATAAAGGTTTGTGTGAATGAAGAGAGATCTGTTTTGTTCTAGGGCAAACACATGGCACCATAAAAACCCCAAACTCAGTTTTGGCTTTGTCACAGTATATTTCCCATCTCTTTTCCCTCTTAGATGCAAAAACACTTCCCTGCTTTGCCCAGAAAGGCAGAGAGTCAGCTGCTGCCTCCCTTCCAGCACAGACAGGCCATCCGTTCCTCACAGCACAGGGATCTTCTGGGTTAGGGTTTATGAAGAACAAAAAAAAAAAAAGGCAGTTTCTTGGGAGCATGTGAAGGGAGGAGAGATACGAGCCCAGAAAGAGAAAATGCTCCATGAAACGCCAGCTCTTGGTCTTGTTCTCGCAGGGCCCCAGCGTAGGGCAGGGTGGTGCTGGTGGGTGTCTCACTGCCCAGAGAGCCGTTTAAAACCCCAAACACACAGATACATCATTGGTACGTTTTTACAGTCCCACAGTCCCCCACCTACAGTATTTTAACCCGCCTTACAGTCCCCCACCTACAGTATTTTAACCCGCAGAAGGAATTGTTTATTCCTGTTCCACTCTCTCCTCCCCGTGTCAGCTGAGGAGCTCACGATGAGCAGCACGCTCCTCCCTCACTGCGTGTACACCTTGGTGATGTCCACACACTTCCCCTCCGGGGGGTCGTACCCCGGCAGCGGGGGGGTATAGTCAGGTCCCTCCCTCTGGAAGGGGAAGAGCGCGGTGTCGCGGCGGATGGCTGCCTGGAACAGCTCCTCTGACTCCAGGCGCAGCTCCCGCAGAGCCTCCTGCTGAGCCTCCACCAGCGCCTGGATGGCAGCCTTCTCCGCCTTGTCGTGGTTCTGCTTGAACAGACACCACCTCTTCAGAAGTAACACCCTTCTCTCCGTCTCCTCCAGTGACAGAGGGGGGAGGCTCCGCACCCTGGCAAAGAGCAGGATAACGTTTTAACAGAGAAATGGCCTGTGCCCCAAAGAGTATATCAAAAAAACCTCCACAAAACAACAACAAAACCCCAAACCCAGCGAAAGCGTTTTATTCGTGCAACATCTGTGAGGTTTTCCATGGTCGTTCTAACAGGAAACTCACACAACTATTTTTTCACTGCTTTTAGCAGGAGCACATAAAATTTGGCATTCCCATTTTTGTCCTGTAGGACAAGGTAGGGAAGGTTTGTCCCGAGGCCAGCACTGTACTGCAGTTTCACAGAAACAACAAGTGTTTCCCCCATGCACACGAGCGCCCGGTGAGAGTCTCGCTCACCTGGTGCTATCCGAGAACTTCAGTGGGGTTTGAAAATCCTCGATTGGAATCATTTCTGGGGCAGCTTTTTCCAACTTTCTAATCTTCTTTTTCATACGTTCCTTCTGGGCTTGCTCTTTCTTCACATCCACTTTCTTCTTCTTTTTTGGTTGTGCTCTGCCAGGGAAATAATTACATGAGTGAAAGAAGGTATTTTGACATTTAATTTAACACCAGCAACTTTCAGTTCCACTTTACTTTTCTAAGGTCATTCCTCCCCATTGTTTGATTTGGTCCCTAGTGGAGGTTCCAGCCATTAGCTTTATTCAAGTAATGTCACTTCCAGGAGACAGTAACGTCATCTGAGATTTTCTGCAGAGACTGCACCTGCCCAAGAAAAGCAACCTCCAATTTTGTGCTGAGCACCAGAACGAGCTGAGGACATTCCACCAAAATGGCACTGGAATTGTTTTGCACCGGCTCGGGGCGCAGCAGAGCAGGTAAGGGGTTTATCTGCAATACTCCTGCGGTCTCGCAGTAAAGAAGAGAGCGACAGGTTTTACACATGCTTTTAAAACTTCCACATTTGGAACCAAATTCAAGGGGCAGACATTCCTCTGCTGTTGTACTTCCCCTGGCAGATCTCATTATCCCAGATAATGAACGCCACGCTCTGTAGACGAATCCTCACGGACAGATATCACTCAAACAACCAACCTTCATGGTGTGGAACGGTCCCCATGATGGTACCTACCAGCTACCGGGATGTTTTGAATCAAGTGGCATCAAAACAAAACATGGATACCAAAATGTAACATAGATGAAAAACGTGGGCTGTCTAATACGCCACTTTATAGTATTTTCGGTTCGGCTCTCATTTCCATCGCTACTCAGGAGGGAATTCTGGAGCACAGCTTAAATCCAAACATTTTGTTGCTGAAGGAGCAAATACCACTACAGACAGGCACAAAGCGGTAATTGCACCGGCTGCCGTTACACTCCCCTCACACCGTGACTTCAAAGACTTACAGCTAAAAGTTAGTTTGGACGTGGGGAAATGGAGGATCCCCTCAGGATGAACCCCCCTTCGCTCACCTGACGGGGAGAGACGCCCGGGCCGCCAGCAGCGATGTCTGCCAGTGACTCCCTCGGCTCGGAACCGCCTGGGGCAGCCATGAACTTGGGGAAGGAACAGAAATCGTGAGGAGAAATTCGGGATGTTCGGCGCTGCGGGTCCACAGATGCCCGCCCGGCAGGGGGACCAGGCCCGGGGCTCGCCGTTCAGCGAGCCCCGAGCCTGATCCCCCTCCCGGGCGGGCGAGGAGACAGCCCCGGGCCTGGTCCCCCTCCCGAGGAGGAAGCCCCGGGCCTGGTCCCCGTCCCGAGGAGGAAGCCCCGACCCACAGCCCTACCTGAGGCGAGACCCACAGAGGCCCCGCGCCGCCGCCGCCAACATGGCGCCCTGAGGTGACGGCGGTGTCCCCCTCGCTCCCCGCCGGCCGCGCTCCCGCTCCCGCCTCTCCCCGTTCCGCCGCTGTGAGGGGAGGCCCCGCCCGCGCCCCGCCCCGCC